CCATGGCCATGACAAGCAAGATGTAAGGTACCAGTAAGCCACAAGCCATGTGGCAACATATAGATTAATAGAAATGGGTTAATTTAAGACATAAGAACAGTTAGCAAGAAGCCTGCCACGGCCATACAGTTGGTAAATAATATAAGCGTCTGTGTGTTTATTTTGTAAGTGGGCTGTCGAACTGCTGGGGCTCAGCGGGACCTGGAGAGAAGCTCTCCAGCTACAAACCAGGCTATCTTTGCACTCAGAGATCTGCTTGTTCTGCCTCCCAAGTGCTATCATTAAATGTGCGCATCACCACTATCTTTATGTTTTATCGCTTTACAACCTAACATAAACCAGAATAAAATTGCTTAACTTCCTGTTAATTCTTAATTTCTAAGTTTTCTATGTATAAGGGAGGGCTCTACCAGTTCGCCTCCAGTGTCACAGGTGACTGAAACCCTCTGAATTCCTGTGAGAACCAGCTCAGGACATTAGTGTCTGCAGAAATGCTTTGAAATACAGGAAGGTTTCTAGGTCAAGAGATGATATCACTACTAGTATTATTAATTTGCAACTACTTGCTTATCTGAAATGCAAGTAAAGGAAATAAACCAGGAATCTTCACACAGACCCCAGTGTCGTGAATCCACTAAAACCCTGTTCACTGATGCTTTAGAAAGAAAAACGTGGACTATGGACTCAAACTAAATTTACATTTTTCTCAACATTGCATAGGTAGCTGCTATTGCTCATTATAGAATTTTCAGATAGACTTTTCTTTTAAAAGTATACAGTGACCAAGAAAACAGGTGCACAAATTGAAATTCAGCTAGTCTGCACCAAGGCCTGGACACTGCTTTTTAAGAAAACATTTAACCATGTGATTAAATACACACTGGGTGGAAAATCACCTGTCCAGGATAGAGTGATTTCTGTCTATTTTAGTTCCCTTTTCCCTTCTGACACTACAGCCAGTTCTGCATGGTGTATGCATCATGGTTTGTGCTTATTTTAACATCTATTCACAGCAGACCTCCTAATGCTGGCTTGATGATTGTATCACAGTAGGGGAGAGATCTGACCTGATGCAGGAGTCACCCCATTATGATGCCTAGCAATGGCCATCTTGCATAGGCTTCCTGCAAAATTTTCAGGCACTTTAGATTTTTGTTTGAGGCTGTTTATGTCTTTGTGACAAACAGAAATCAGATTTTGGGGTCTACTTCTAGTTTTATGCTTGAATTTTTTTTTTTCTTTTTTAACATAGAGTTTTGCTGCTGTATTCAGGCTGTCTTGGTATTTACTCACTATGTGTAAGAGGCTGGTCTTGAACTTTCTGCAGTTTTCCTGCCTCACCCTCTCTAGTCCTGGGATCTCAGGAGTGAGTCATCACACCCAGCTCCTAGGCTTGATCTTTACGCTTGTTCTCACTTCACTTGTTGGACTAACGCTCGTCAGTTTTCATGGTAGAGTAAGGAATATATGCGGTTACGAAGTTGATTGAAATTGCATTCTGTCTAGTCCCTGAAAGTAGAAAGTACAAAACCTTTGTGGTATGCATCATGCAGCTAGAAACATAGTCTGGTTCTCTGTTGATAAGGAAATGAACATCAAAGTTCACTCTCTTCCTGGCGAAACCTGCATGCTTTCCCAGATTACAGAAAACACAAAGTGAATTGCTAATAGAAATGTGCTTTTTCCAGATTCCTCTTGCTTTGCTCCATTGTGTCCATGATAATGTGAACTGTTGCTGCCATCTGCAGCATGGAAGAATTATTAAAAACATTCCCTGTACCTACCTTACGTTATTGCATTTTAAATACATGGTGCTGTTTTAAAAGTAAGAACCTTCTAATTCGTTTTACTCTTTCTCTGTGTTTTCTATTGCTGCCATTCATGGTGTTTAAAGACAGCCTAAAATACACAAAGTACTTGAGAATGAGGCATTGGTAGTGAAATACTCAGTTTATATTTACTGATTATTTAGTTATGCTAAATTAATTTTGAAAGGCAATGAGCTCGTAAACAAAAGGGGCATTCATAACTTACTGACATCAGGAATGATTCTTCAAGTCTACCACCATCGGCTAAATATAAATATTAATCTTGTCTAAAGTTTTTCATCAAGAGGGCTTTTCCAGTTTATGCACAGGCTGCGTTCTCCAGTTTATGGGGGAGTCATGTCAAAGCCCACTGCTAGTGCGACACTGAGAGCGCACTGTTGGCAGAGGGGACCGTCTAAGTTCATTGTTCCTGTTGCTTTTCCAGATAAGAACAGACGACGGATTCGAAGAGACACTGCTTATTTCAAGGAAATGAAGACGCTCTTTCCCTGCACGTCCGGATTCTCGTTCTGTGTGTTTAAAAACCCCTTCCTCCTCCATTTTCCGTCCACTCATAGTCTCACCCTGGAAAGTAGGCACAAGCTGATCAGGTATGTAAAATCGAGCAGGTTACTTTACATCCACTTCTGAGACTGATTTTGTCACTCTAACCTGTGAGCTTATGATAATTATTTTTTGTTTTAAATCAAAATTGGATGAGAAATGTGTAAAAAGCCTAGTCTTTTATTCTAAAATATTCATTAATGCTAGCTTTTATGCATTTTTTTAAAAAAGATTTATTTGTTTATTATGTATACGGTGTTCTGCCTGCACATATCCTTGAAGGCCAGAAGAGGGCACCATATCCAGCCAGAAGAAGAGGGCACCAGATCTCATTACAGATGGTTGTGGACCACCATGTGTTTGCTGGGAATTGAACTCAAGATCTCTGGGAGAGTAGCTAGCGCTCTTAATCTCTGAGCCATCTCTCTAGCCTGCTTTTATACATTTATGAAACATTTTCATCATGTTTTAATTTTGTTTCAGGCAAGGTATCAAATTTTAAAGTTTTAAATCTCTTATAATTCCAGTGTAGGTGATCTTTTAAAAGCAGATATTTATAAATAGAAACTTCCCAGAAGTGAATTTTGATATTATTATGGCACCACTAATAAAGGTCAGCTACAAAGCAATGGCTCAGTACACAAAACCCACTGTATTTTCCTCCTTTTCTTTTTCTTTCTTTCTTTCTTTTTTTTTTTTTTTTTTTTTGGTTTTTCGAGAAAGGGTTTCTCTGTGTAGCTTTGCACCTTTCCTGGGACTCACTTGGTAGCCCAGGCTGGCCTCGAACTCACAGAGATCCGCCTGGCTCTGCCTCCCGAGTGCTGGGATTAAAGGCGTGTGCCACCACCGCCCGGCCCTCCTTTTCTTTAAAGGGATTTCAATCAATTTAATTTTTATTTATATCTGCAATATCTAGATCTCTAAATGCAACTTCTAGTGGGTTAAGGGCTGACAACCTGTCAGAGGCAGTGACTCCCAGTGGTTTATTCCCCTCATTTTGTTTCTCACATCATGTCTTTGTGCTGTGCTCTTGAGCTGAAGTGTAATTCCACACATCATCTGCAGTTAAAAGGAGCCACAATACACAATATACATGATTGAGTACAGTCTTCATTTGATTTCAGTGGAAAAAAAAATGTCATATATTGAGAAACACACAAAATTTATGTAATTTTTTAAGATAAATTTATTTAAGAACATTATTTTTTTCTTCCAAAATACGCCATAGTTTCTGAAAACAAGTTGTGAAACTCCTTGACCTTACCCTAGGACCTTCCATGCACACACACACACACACACACACACACACACTGGTAAAATTATTGACCCTGCTCTGCTTAGCCACCTGCTTCCTGAACTTTGACTAAGCATCCACATAGACAACAACTCCTGATAAGAATAAGACCCTTTGTCTCTCCCTATACCCCTACCACTGCCCTGGAGAGTAGCCCAGCAACCACAAATGTAGCTCCAAGTAGAAAGACGTCCTTGGACTCACCCAGGCCCATCCTTACTAAGACTTAGTCTAAGTAGCTGCACGCAAAGTCAGTAGTGGTCAGATACCTCAGTCCCTCCAACTGCCTGTCCTGGGTCCTTGCTCAAGGAACTCTAATGCGTCCACCAATGATACCAAACAGAACCCTACATTATCTGGCCCCAGGTTTTTGCCCAAACAGGTTTACATGAAGCCAGTGAGACCCCAGGGACTCTATTAGCCTCTGAAGTCAAATCACCCTAGCCTCTCCACTTACAAATAAAATTGAAGGACCAAAAGACTAAATTTTAAGCACCCCCTTCTCCAAAACAAGCCAAGTTAAGGTAACAGCAAAAAGAGAATGACCCCACCACCCAGCACAGGTAGGCAAGAAACTCATCAACAACCTAACTCTCGTTTCCCAGGCCCCTCTATAAAGACACAAGTAATATATCAATGGTTGAAAATCCAAGACAATATATCCCTTAAAAGATGATCAGTCCCAGAGCAATATACCTCAACATGATAATGTAGATCAATCCCAAGATGCAAGTTTTAGAGAACAATTATAAACATGTTCAAAGAGTTCAAGTTCAATGAGGACATGGGTAAATACCTGAGTGAATCTAAAAAGGACAGGATAAACTCTGGTTAAGTCCAAGAAAACACAAACAAATGGCTGGATATACAATAAAGACAATTCAGGATATGAAGAGTGAATCTAATTAACAGAAATACAGAAGAAAACCTAAATTGAAATTTACTTGATATGAAACATTCAGTAAGTTAATTAAAAAAATTCCAGTGGAAAACCTCACCAACAGAATGGGTTATGTAGAATGCAAAAGAATATGATCATTTAATTAAAAGGGGGTAATTTTAAAGAAGAATATCACCAATGTAATATGCAGCATCATTGGGATGATGCCAATTATAGGGTTAGAAGATGAGGGAAAAGTCCTGGTCAACACATACAACATATCTTCAAAAGTTAATGGAATAAAATTCTCTAAATCTGGGGAAATAGATGCCCACAGAACACCAAATGGGACCAGGAAAAAAAATCTTACTACACCATATTATAATGAAAACATTAAATATATAGAAAAAATAAAGAAGTAGTGAAAGCTACAAGACAGAAGAGGCAAGTCACATGTAGGGGCAAATCTATCATAATAACAGCTATTTTTTTCCAATGGAAACTTTACAAGTCAGAAGAGCTTATAGCAATGTCCTTTAAGTCCTAAGATCACATAAGTCAACTAGACTGTTACACTTGGCGAAACTATCTGTCATGTTGACGGAAAAAGAACTTACTGAAATTAAAAGGCAGCCAAAGGAATTCAACTCTACAAAACATCCCTGCAGAGAATACTGAAAGGGATTCTTCAGACTGAAGGGAAGGGTAACCATATCCAAGAGGTTACAGGAAGAAAACTAAAAATGCTACAATAACAAGTGTGTAAATTAGGACTAAGGAAACTAACACCACAAAAGCAATAAAATGACAGTGATCAATGTAAAACTTTCAATAATAACTTTTAATATCAATGGCCTTAACTCCCCTATCAAAAGATATAGGCTAACCTGTTGGACTTAAAGACATGAGCCACCTTTTTGTTGTCTACAGGATACATATTTTACCTTGAAGTATAGACACTACTTTAGATAAAAAGGATGGGAAAAAGTATTCCAAAACAAATGGAACAAGGAAACAAACAGGCATTGCAATGCTAGAATCTTATAAAATAGAGGTAAAACAAAAACTAATCAGTAGAGATAAAGAAGGTCATTTCATTCAGATCAAAGGAATAATCCACCAAGAGGACATTACGTTCTTAAACATACATGCACCAAAATCAAGTGCAATCAGTTTCATAAAACAAATACTACTAGGTAGAATGCTACATATTAATCTCAATACAGCATTAAATAACATTAGCACTTCTCACTAATTGATAGGTCATACAGATAGATTTAAAAAGAGAAATCTTATAATAAATGACATCAGAAATTGAATGTATCCAATGAATACCTCTAGAATATTTTACCCAAATACTACAGAGTACACATTCTTCTAAGTAGTTCATGGAAATTTCTCTAAAGTAGACCATATATTGGGACACAAAGTAAATCTCAACAAATGGAGGAAAATTTTAATAATTCTTTGTATCCTATCTGTCCACAATGGAATAAATCTTGAAGTCAACAGAAAAAATAAGCTTTAAAAAGACACAAGGTCATGGAGATTAAACAATACCCCATTGAAAGAGGAATGAGTCATTAAAGAAATAAAGGCAAAGAGAAACTAATCTGGAACTGAGATGGAAGATTTCTCCCTTGTGGTTAAGTTTCATACATATAGAAGTTGCCATGCAGGCTGCCTGGGGGAGAAAAGACACAAATCATTGTAAACTCTACAAATTAGTTGTAAACTTTACAAACTACAGTACCTGTCTGCCAGGCAAGATGTGCCTAATTATGCAATAGTGGCATGGCTCTTATGGGAGTAACCAACTGCTCTCTGATTGGAGTCCACTGGACAGACTCTGTCTTTGCTATTACAAATTCTAGTAAAAAATAAAAATTCCATGCCTGAGAATAATTGACTAATGTTGCTTAGTTAAATAGACCCAGTGTCAAACTGCCTTCTAATTATTCATGTTTATAGACATAGATTAATGTTACTTTCAGCCTTAATCAGAGAAGCCTCTCTGTGGTGAAAGGCAGTGAATGCAAAGACACACATGACTGATCAAGAAGCTGAGAATGAGTGAAAGTTGAATGCTTAGCCATGAACAAGACATTTATATCACCTTCTCAGGAAGTTATGGAAAGAATGTAGGAGCTGGAAGACAGTTCTGAAGAAGTATTAGAATGTGCCATGGTGCAGCCATTCCAAAAAGAACTCAATGTAACTGTGCTTGCTTATCTTGTATCTGCACAAAAGTGGACCTGTCAACAATCAATCATGGATTAAGGAGGGGCATAGGGTCCTATTCACTTTACTGAATTAGTGTTCATTGATAGATTGTGGTAGTAATTGTAGTTGTGTAACTACAGTGATCCAACCAGGCTCTAATATACAGTTCCAAACACAGCCACACAGGTGATCCTGGTTATAAACACATCAGATTTTAAGACAAATCATAAACACAGAATATGGTAAAAGGATCTGTAAAGAGAAGATGAAATGGATGGGGGAGACAAGTGAGGGTAAGCCTAGAGAGTGATCAATGCATTGTGCCCATGTTCAGAATGGTTAAAATACAAACTTAATAAATTAAAAATGTAATAAGAAAGGATTAAAAATCAAATTTTAGGGGCTGAAGACAGCTCAGTTTTTGCTATGCAAACATGAAGACCTGAATCCAATTTCTAGCATTCCACATTAAAAAAAAAGCTGTACATAGTGGAAGGCAATTGTAATGCTATTGCTAAGGGAGCTGAGAGAGTTGGTGATCCAGGGCTCACTGGACAGCAAGCTTAGTCTAATTTGTGAGCTCCAGGTTCACAATTATGAGAGACCCTGTGTCAAAAACCAAGTTGGACAGCTTCTAAAAAAACATCCTAAGGTTGGCCTTTGGCCTCCCTTATGCATACTGAAAAACAACAAAAACAAAACAAAAGAAAATCTCACAAAACAAAACAAAAATTCAAATTTTATGGAAAGGGAAAAATATGTAACTTGAAAAGTTAAATATTATAAATAAATAATAATTCAAGACCCTCCAGTTTTAACAGAGACATACTGACATAGAACTCCTGAAATAGAAATGTTGATGGACTGGAGAGATGTCTCAGAGGTTAAGAGCACTTGCTGCTCTTCCGGAGGACCTGAGTTCAACTCCAAACACCCACATGGTAACTTCACAACAATATGTAACTTCAATTCCATGGAATATGATACTCTCTTCTGGCCTCCACAGGCATCAGGCACTTAAGTGGTACACAGATATACATATAAGAAAAAGACCAATACACAAAAAGTAATAAAGTAAATAAAAATAGTAATGCTGTCAAGTTATGAAAGCATAAAAGTTTGTTATTTTGGTAGTAAAAATTACAAATATAAAAACCTGTATGTGTACTAACTGAGGCTCAAGTGAGTCAGAATTTTAGTGAGTTGTTCATATGTCACCTGGTTTTTCAGATTGTTGAGCAAATATTCTCCCTTCTCTTTTTAGTTTTATTTTTCATCTTCAGTCCTCGTGATCAAACCCAGATTCCTGCATATGCTAGGGGAGTGCTTTATCACCTTTAGTATCCTGTGACTACATCTCCCTATTCATCATGGTAACTGTTTTGGTGATCGCCCTGGCTCCTCTTGAGTGTTCTGTAATACACTGACTTCAAACTTCAGATTCTCTTGTTTTCCAAGTACAAAGATAATAGGCACACATCACTGCACCAATTAAAACTTCTCTTTCATAGAGACATACTGGTGATTCATGGGAAGCTTTTAGTATTTTGTTTCAGGATTTTATGGTTCACAAAGAATGCTTTGTTAAAACCTATTGCCCTTGTATCTCCTCTTGATTACGACACTCCTGTCACATTTCCTGTGTTTATTGAACTTGCCCAGCATGTTTGACTCAGAGACTTTGCACTTTCTTTTTCAATTGCCAAGAATTCTCTTTTCTGAATGCTCTTATCTCTCGTTGACTTCTTTTCCCTTTTATTCAAATTAACAGCTCTGTGTATGTCTGTTTATTTATCCTGAATAACTTTTCTTTCTGGGCCTGGAAATAACAAAATTCTTGCCCTTTTAAGAGAGAACTGATTAATAACTTATCATTGTGGTGATATTTCACTTGTGTTGTAACAAATAAAGCTTGCCTGGGGAATCACAGGACAAAGCCAGCCACTATATTAAACATAGATGCCAGGCAGTGGTAGCACATGCCTTTAATCCTAGCATTCGGGAGGCAGAGATTCGTCAGGATCTCTGTGAGTTCAAGTTCAAACTGGGAACAGAGCCAGGCATGGTGGCACATGCCTTTAATCCCAGCACTAGTTAACCATAAAGGTCTGAAGGGCTGTACAGACAGACAGGAAGTGATAGAGCTGGGTGGAAAGAGGAAGTGATATAGTTGAGCAGAGAGAGGAAGTAAGATGGCAGGGCACAGAAAGGTATATAAGGTGTGAGTAAACAGGAAGTAGCTCTCTTGAGGCTGAGGATTTCATAGCGGTAAGAATGTGGCTGGCTTGTTCTGTTTCTCTGATCTTTCAGCTTTCACCCCAATATCTGGCTCTGGATTTTTTTATTAATAAGACCATTTAGCAATTTGTGTTACTTATCATCCCAATGGGTAACAATTAAAACTAGCATTAAACTTACTGAATCAGACAAAGACTGATTTTTGCAAAAGTATGTACATCTGCAAGACAATGTGAGGTATCTTTCATAAAACCACTGAGCATCAGCTACTGCATACCAGCTTCAGTTCAATTAAGACACTTCTTTTAATTTCTTTTGTTTTTATTTTGGGTTGTGTGAGGTTGAGATGGGGCTTGATTTTGCAGCCCAGGATGGCCTTGACCTCAGGTGGTGGTTTGGATGAGAATGTCTCCCACAGGCTCATGTATGCCAACGCTTGGTTCCCAACTGAGGCCCTGTTTGGTAATGTTCAGGAGGTGGAGGCTGGCTGGAGGGCTCTGGGAACATATGGACAAGTCAGGGCTAGGAATCAAGAGGGCTACGCAGTATCATGTGAATTCAGAGTCAGTTGTCAATGCCTTCTTCCCTCTCCACTGTTGCATGGATTCAGGTCGGACTCTTTTGGTTTTCTGTGTTTGTTTTCAATTCCAGAGTTGTCCATTTTTCATTTTGAAGTCTCAGGTCTTTTAACTGGCAGAAACTTCGTAGCAGTTAGATAAAATCCTGATTGATAAGACTGCTTTTGCTAATTTAGAGTCTATCTGTATGGCTATTTAAATCTTTGGAACAATTCTGCTCAGTGCTTTAGTTAATTGCCTTACAGAATATAATTGTGCCTCTGCTACTTCAAGAAATAGAAGCTATCTATCTTTCTCCAGATCTTTACACATATTTTTTTTATCAATCTCCATCTTTTCCAATATAAATAAAATATGTTTACTACAATAAGAAAATTAACATGTCTGGGATGCATGAGATTCTCTCTCAAAAATGTGAAAAATGCATTATAAAATAATGCTTATAATGTAATTTGTTAAGACCACATGAGACAATTAAAAAAAATAAAATTAAGAAAGTCAAAAGGAACTACTTTTGAAAAGATGTTTTAGAAATTCAAGCCTTTTGATTAGTAACCACCCTTAGTACCAGAAACACTTCAAAGTGTTCTCTAAACATTGAATTCCCATCAGTGATGCTGCAAGCCTTAGCTCTCATCTTTCATGCTTACCATTGCAGTAACTTCAAAAGGATGAAAAGAGAATGATAATCTCTCAAAGTAACCTTGTACTCATGCTTAGTAATTGCGTATTTAGCTATCATGCATCCACAACCAGGTAATGGTCTCATTACACTGTGTTTTAATAAATATAATAATTAACATTTAGTTATAAAAATTCAAATACTCAAACCATTCAGAAATTAAATTCAGAGCCCAAGGGACATCTAGAAGAAAATGAAAAAGAATTAGATAGTGTCAAACATAGACATCTTCAAAGGAAGGAGGCCATTTAAACTTGTCTTTTACTTACTGAAATGTGCTCTGCATATTTTATTGTTTTCGTCATCATGCTTGTTATAATCCAGCAAGTGAGTGTTCAAAGAACATAAAATCCTACAAATAAATAAACTGAATATGAATGTATGTATAAAAGAGGCAACAATTAGGATCAAGAGCTTGACGTGCCAGCTTTGATTATGTGAAGCAAAGATGTTCCTAGTGGTGTCTCAGCAATGCATGACTTATTGGAAGATTAAAAACTACAATGTTTTAAGGTTCATGATTCTAACATGTTGAATTTTCATCATGTAAGGAACTTAAACCCTTATCTAAGTAATCCCAATATCACCAATCAAAATTTTGGGAGCGATCAAGGTTGTAAAATTCAATTGTAAACATAAGGCAGAGGAAGAAATGCTAGCAGGCATCACCTTTGAAGTGCTTGTAATCTATCTTAGAGGCACACGTGAGAAGCTGTCTCAAAACATATATTGGCAAGGTTGCAAAGGTATTATAAGGTTATGATTTAACAAGAAGTGGATGAGAGATCTTCCTGTTGTCACTTAAGTATGTGTGTCTCTTAGTCATTGGAGTATTACCCATTCATATAACTGGGGGGACTATCTAGATTAGTCTTCATTTGAGTTTATTGAGCACAGAGTACTCATTAGATGTCATGCTCAAGCGCTGGCCCTGATGCACCCAGGGGAAAGCTAAGAGTCTACAAGCTTTCAAGCCATGCAGAGATTGTACGATGTAGTACATATTGAATGGGATCTAAGCAACCTGCCCATATCACATTAATCTCTCAAAGAATGTGAGCCAAGGATGGGAAATACACTTGTCAAGGCACAAATATTTAGAAGGCTTCGGGAAATGAACAAAAAGAAAAATCAGTGAGGTTTAAGATCCAGAAAACGTCTCTTGTTTACCAGGACCATTTTGTCACCAGCCTGTCTGCAAAGTTGGTTAATATAAAACATAACAGATAGACTGTTTTTAATATGAAAATTAACTAAACAGCTTTATCAGGAAGATCTAATGAACAAGCAAGAGAAAGAGTATGTGAATGTGTGTGTGTGTGTAAATGTACATCTCTATATGTGCTTGTTTGTGTGTATGTGTTGAAAAGTTAATGCTAAAGTGTAGAATGACCAAAAAAGGGAAGAGGAAACAGGAAGCAATGAAGTACTATGAATGAAAATTTGGGTGACAGGCAAAATTAATTATAATTACTTTGATTTGTAAATAAAAATAGGGACTGACTACTAATGATAGGAAATAGTTAAGCTGATTTCTCAAAAGATTTTGAAGACATAATTCTGATATACAACTCTCTATTTACCTATTTTATATGTAATTCTCTGTGTCCATCAAAGATATAACTATGGAATTACTTTAATGTAATTAATGTGGTCAATGTGTATCTTTAGCAGAGACACAATAAATGGGTTGAGTTTATTTAACAGCAGCATAGATTGATGTAATCATTAGATTTGAGATCTTAAATTCTGAGCAAAAACAAAAGGAAAAGGAAAGATGCTGGATTATTAAAGAGAGAGAGAGAGAGAGAGAGAGAGAGAGAGAGAGAGAGAGAGAGAGAGAGAGAGAGAGAGAGAGAGAGAAACCCATAGGTTTCTGTGAGTTCAAAATGCTCATAATGGGGGAGACCTGAGGCAGGAGCTAGTCAAGCATTTTAGCAAAGGTGTTACTTGTCTCCTGTGTTATCAGCCTTAGTGAAATGTAAACCTCTAAATTCTGATTGCCAAAGGACAATGATCCTATCTTAAACTGCCTTCTTTGTATAAAGCATGTTCTGTAGGTAAAGATTGTGTGGAGGAGGATTATCGCTATACAGTCTGGCATGTAAGGACAAAATCCATCCATGCAGCTTAGACCAAACTTACAAAGAGAAAGCAAGCGCCAATCATTGTTGCTTTGAGTGTCACATCAAGATCTGCAGGAACATGTATCCCAAAGTTGTCAGCATTTGTGAACACATTATTAACAAATCCGGACCAGTACTTGGAAATCTTCCCGATCGTAAGCTTTTCATCCACAGTTTTCACCTTTGAAAAGAAAAATAAGAGGTAGGAACTTTGCAGGTAAACAGAGATAGTTGACATTTCTCAGCATGTTTCTTTCAGGATGAATTTGAGCTGCTGTATTATTTGCCGTATCCAAAAGGTGGCTCTACGTTGTTTGTTCCTGTGTGGACATTTACCTCCACAGTGCTCAAGAGTTTTAGACTGTCACAGTTTGTAGACCATTATAATTTGTTTTCCTTTTAGTTTTCTATGCAGATGGAGGAAATAATTAAGGCTAGACAACCACAAGATGGCAGCAGGTACATCTTTTAGTTATGTAGCTAAGCCTGAAGGTACCTGTTTTTTAAACCTGAATTTACTATCATAAAATATGTGTATGAACAACAGATATACTCTGTGTGTGCGTGTGTGTGTGTGTACACACACATATTAGAAATATTATTTGGATGAATTAAAGTATTTTCTAGGTATAATTCATGAAATTTAAACATTTATTAACCATGTAATTATTAAAGCTTTTAAACATAATACATTGTCAAGCTACACTTTTATGTTATGGTCAGCCATTTGTCAACACATTCCCTTCTAACTAACCATAAGTATTAGAAATCACTTTGAGCTAGTGTATAAACAGGAGATTGAGATGAGTCTGACCTTGAAGTCTACCAAGCCCATTCAGTGAGGGATCTACATCTGATTCCATCAACTATGTATTTATTTATCCTGTTTATCATTATGACACTTATTTAATATAGTTTCTTTTTCCCTGTGGTGATAGAAAATAGGAAAGTTTTCTTAGGACATAGCTATAGCATGGAACCTAAGCCCAGATGTTCAAATCTCATCAGTCATATTATTAAGAAGCCATGTAGCTAGGTGGTGGTGGCGCACCCCTTTGATCCTAGCACTCAGGAGGCAGAGGCACTAGGATCTGAGTTCGAGACCAAATCCAGCCTGGTCTACAGAGCAAGTTCCAGGACAGCCAGGGCTACACAGAGAAACCCTGTCTTGAAAAACCAAAAACCAAAAATCAAAACCAAAAGAACCCAAAAAGGCCACGTCACACGCTTTCTCAATTCTAGGCCTAGGACAAATCACTTAACAAAGTCTGTGTTCTCAGTGTGTATAGGCTCCTCCAGAAGTCTGGAAAACATATCTGGGTGGGATGCATACAAATAAAGAAAAGTAGATGCTTTAAAAGCTAATGGTTTCATTGAACCCTGCCTATAATGTATGTTTACAATAATCTGTTCAGAGAGCATATGTTGTTGCAGGATAAATTTGTAATGGCCCATTTTAATATTCAGTTCCAGAAACCTGAGAATACATGACTGTACTCTTACAAATGCAGTTTTATATAGTGACACTCTAGTGGAGTATGTTCTGAAATGAGACCTGAATGGGGTTAAATGTCCATCAAGCAGATCCACAAGAAAGGGCATAGATACTTTTGGTGATCAAAAAACATATTCACTCTATCCCATTTGTGCTTTTAATTTCCTATGAATCAACCTCATCAAACATAGGGTTACTATGATTTTTAACAATCACAACATATTGGTTATCTAAAAAATCACAATACTATCTCTCTCTTTCTATATATAAAGCTTGATGTTCAAAGGTTCAGAGGCTGAAGTTAAAAATAACAAGACATTCACTCCTTTAGGTAAGGATGTATAGTTGTCTATCTACTGTATTTAGCAAATATGTCAAGAATTTTAATTTTATATCTCTCATTTTCATTTGTTAAAGTTTCTTTGAAGAGCATGTGCGGTGATCTATGACAGATAAAATGGATAAGACCAGTACATTGCTATAGCATTATTTTGGCTAAAAACCTATGGATTTAGAATCTCTGGAGTAATGGCTATTATTATTGACATGGAAACATGATTTATGAGAATATTACACTAGTATGCAATTCTTTTCTTTTTTGTTTTGGTTTTTCAAGACAGGGTTTCTTTGTGTAGTTTTGGTGCCTGTCCTGGATCTCACTCTGTAGACCAGGCTGGCCTCGAACTCACAGAGATCCACCTGGCTCTTGGCTCTGCCTCCTGATTGCTGGGATTAAAGGCATGGGCCACCACCGCCCGGCCTATTATGCAATTTTTAAAATGTATTTAAGGGATATATCATGATTTTTTTTTAATTAAAGATTTTTTTAAAATGTACATTGGGGTTTTGCCTGCATGTATTTCTGGGTGAGGATGCCAGATCTCCTAGAAATGTAGTTTCAGATAGTTGTGAACTGCCTTGTGGGTGCTGGGAATTGAACCCCAGTCCTTTGGAAGAACGGCCAGTACTTTTAATCACTGAGTCATCTCTCCAGTCCCATGATTTGGATATTTTATAAACTGAATTATGATTCAAGAAATCAGGACCTAAGCAAAACTTTCTTTGTCATCCATACCTCAAAGTCCACATCACCAAAACAGCCACAGGTTGCACAAGGACCAACAATTTTTAAAGTGTCTTCTTTGTTTGCATTTTGGATTGTGAATTTGGGTTGAAAGGGGTCCCACTTTTGTGCAACATAACCAACTGTAGTACCGGGAGGGGCTTGGATTTCCAGCTGTAAGAGAAAATAGTAACAAAATGAAATTTTACAAAGGTTATTGTGTATTAATCACATAAGAATGCCAATTTATATCTATATAATATTTGTTATGAAATAACTAATGTCTTATAAGAGTCATTATAAATATATATTTTTGGCCAGGTGGTGGTGGCACACGCCTTTAATCCCAGCACTCAGGAGGCAGAGCCAGGTGGATCTCTGTGAGTTCGAGGCCAGCCTGGTCTACAGGGTGAGATCTAGGACAGGCACCAAAACTACATAGAGAAACCCTGTCTCGAAAAAACCAAAACCAGACCCAAACCAAACAAAATTATATATATATATATATATATATATATGATGAAAATTGGTGTTTTCTTTTGACATTTTGTATTTTGTCATGAGAATGATAAGAGTTCATTACACTGATCTGTTTAACAATCTCCTCTAAATGCCTTGGTGTACTTGGCACGATTACCATTTCATCTTATCTGTAACAGTGAGGGAATTATAACCTTTTAGCATGGATAAACTCAGTAATTACTTCTCAGTTGTAGCCCTAACACATATCTATTTTAGCCTCATTTTAGAAATTATTTTAACATTTGAGTGTAAGCCAAATAAAATCCTTTTGTAAGGTATTTTGGAGAGGGGGCAAATAGAAAATGTTTCTTTTGAAGTAAACAAGTTCTCTACCTATTTATATCATTTTTTACCTCATACTAAATTTATCATCTTGTGTATATGTCTACAATGTTCTTGAATAGACTCTCTCTCTATATATATATGTATATATAATATATTCTATAAAGTACATTTTGAATATATATGACTTATTTAAGATGAAAACTGGTGTTTTCTTTTGACATTTTGTATTTTATCATGGAAATGATAAGGATTCATTGCACTGATATGCTTAGCACTTCCCTAGATTTTTTAATATATGTATATATTCATATATATGTGACATACATATATAGTCATGTATGGCCTATGTCTACATATGGCATATGTAGTCAAAATACAGAAATTCATTCTTTCCCACATGTGCTTTTAACTCCCTATGAATCAACCTTGTGAAATCTATATAATGATATAAATATATATAATGTCTTAGGTATTAGAACACACACACACACACACACACACACACACACACACACACATATATATACTTCTAATCTGCAGAATAGAGAGTGAAACAATATTCTAGTTCACAGAGACATCATATCAAATTGAGTAGATGTCTACATCAATGAAAGTTATTATTATAGCTCTAATAACAATGACAACCAATTATGGTTTAAAATAAAATAGTTGAGTAACATCACTCTTTTTTATACCATGAGTTTATTGAATGTGCAAATGGTGTTATTCTGAGCAGAATAACATCCAAGGAAGATAACACATTAGAAGAGGCTAAGTGTCATGGCACCTCCTGGGCATTGCTACTGTCAGAGAAGATGACAGTATTTGTGTAACAGGAACCTGTAGATATTACAATTACTTGGCTAATATACTAGTTTGGGAGGCTATGTCTCAGTTGTAGGATGCAATGGGTTCCCTTAACTATTTAATCCAATGCAAGCTACCATAGTTATGGGTTACAAATGGAAAAAGTCCCTAACCAAATCTTCATGTTTTCCTTTTCCTGAAAGGGAAGATATAAATTCAAACGACCATTAGGTTGACTCTCTCATAGCTCCAGATGAATGCCACTTAAAGGAATAATCTTAAAAAGGAAAGATGCTCAGAGGCAGTGACCAACCTCTTGTAGGTAGCAAGGGCACCAGCAGCTGTTACACCTTAGGGGCCTGTTCACTGTAATCACCTCTCGACCCGAGTTGTCTGTGATCCTCAGGGTGCAGGCTCTCAGCGTGGAACATACATTACGGTTAAAACAGATGCTTTCCTCCACTGCAAAGTAAATTCTTTGTCCCAAGCCGTTTTTGATCTCATATTTGTTGGAAGTCTCAGTGCCGAGTATCACTATCAGAAAACACATCTTATAAAGACATGGAATCACCACTTGTCAAAAGTAAAAGAGTATTAGGAGAACATAGAGTTGCTGCAGAATTGCTGATAGTCTCATCTTCATACACATCTCTTTCCAGGCTCTAAACTCTGAAGACTCAGTCTCAGAAGTCAAAGTAAGATCTAAGAACAAAACTAACAACTTAACTGATTTTTATTCTAGAACTATGAACAAGCATGTTGTGACATCTTTCAACCAATGAACAGATTGTGTAAGGAAGAATTCATTACTCAAATAATAACCCTATTATTCTTCTGCAAGCAATTGGTACAATTTACAGTGGTATTTTTTTCCTGTATCTAAAATGTCCTTTAACATCCACAGTAGTGGTGCTGGCCAACTTCTTCAGTTCTGATATATTTTGACATAACATAGGATCTTATAAACAGGAAACACTCGAGCAGTTTGAAATTATTAATCATGCTTACACACATTTATCTACTGATAAGTTGTGTGCCTATTTTATTGAATCAGTTGTGAAGCAATAAAACAGTAGCATTTGTGTTGATGAAATTTTAATATGCTCTCAACTGTGATTCCTCTTCTCAGAATGTTAAGAAATTTCAATGATTAATATCTATGGGATATTAATTACTTTGTCACTTTCAGATTAATTTTATTGTCACTGTTATGAAAGACTTACTTTTATAATTATAGTTGTGCTTAAACTAATGAATTTAATTTTGGTTTAAAAAATAGGTCAAGCAATCATTTGATCTTTCCATCCATTGTTTATAAGATTTTAGATGTAAAGAAACTTCTGAACAGTAAAGCCTTTTCAGTAGTTTTAATAAACGCAGAATCTGATGTACTTACTCCCAAGAAGTTCCACCTGCTGATGGATGATTATCAGGTCCAACTGCAAAGGATCATACAAAGGAAGTGAAAACCGTTCTGCCACAGCCCTTGCTATGCAACAGGAAATCTGCCATTTTCATTAAAAAGTTTCAAACATTCACAATTTATAAGGCAAGACTTAGCCACAGGAATGAAAGCAAACTCTGAGAAGAAAATTATTTAATTTTTATTCTAGATCTATGAACAATCATGTACTGTATTTCAACTAAAGAACAAATTTGGTAAGGAAGAATTTATTACTCAAATAATTACCCTATAATTCCTCTCTGAGGCTGTGTCTCGCTTACAGGATGCATGACCTCTCTTCACAAAATGTTATTGTTCAACTAATAATTTATAGAACTCTTAAAATTCCAAGTCAGAATTGCCAAGAACAAGAAAAGCAATAGTGTTTACGCTAACTCTGTGATAATGAGAAAAATGGGTGATACGTCAAACTGTACATTTAGGATATTTTTAAATAACCTATGAATAATAACATAGACGACATTTTAAAATGTTCCCAAATTTCTTGTGAGGAAATGAACCCAGATGAGTATTGGGCATCCAGCTTCTTCCAGTGCCTGTATATTCACGACTCTGTCAGTTGGCACCATGCTCCTCTCAGGGAGGAAATACCTGTAAGCTGGAAAAATGACATTTTATAAATAGTTCTTATTCTTCTTCAGGCCAGGGAAAACAAAACTTTCAGACACCCACAGAATGTCAACTGAAGCAGAATAAGTGCTCCGTTACCAAATATCTGCCACAGCATTTGGGCTAGGTAATTAAAAAGAAATTATGCAAGTCAAAATGCAGTTTACAAATTTATTTGATACCGTGTGTGTTTGTATGCATGATGTATGCTGCACATAGCACAGTGCCCATCTAGTAGTGAGAGGATATATTTTAGTGCTGTTTCTCTTCTTCTCCCTTTATGTAGATGCTGGGGATGGAGCTCATGTTGCCAGGCTTGCAGCACCCTTACCGCCTAGCCGTCTTAGCAGCCCATATATTACCTTTGCAAAGGAAATATAAAATACGAGATTTAGAACAGCTTCTTTTTTTTTTTTTTTTAGTTTAATCAGCACTCATAGTAAAGCCAAATCATGAGCCTTGACTGAGCTGCTGATCACCGCATTTCTAATGCTTCATTTTTAAACCTATCTTGACATTGTTTTCACTGTATTCTCTATTCATATATGTAAACTTCGCAAGAATCTTTAAACCAAGGCAATTTTTCATAAACCCTGGTATTGATTGTATATCTACAACTCCAGGAAATTTGAAGCTGTATTCTTTCTTTCATTTTCCTTGTATATCCTCAGGTGAGGTAAACATTTTCTCTTATTGTCTTATCACTGATGGAGAAATACAATGTGGCCTCTTTTTAAAATCGCCAATACTTTTTACGGAAGTCATTTTATGACTTGAGATAGTCTAAAATCATATTAGCACTCAAAGCAAAGCATCTTGAAGTGGAGTAAGTTTTTGAGGGTATCACATTACTTCTGTCATCTTGCAGAAAATGGAGATTTTTCTTTGTGGGCAAAGAAGGGGGGAAACTTCAGAAAGAATGTGGTTATTAGCTCTGAGAAGAGTTAAATTAGGGATGGAGCACTAAGGTCAGGGATAAGGTGTCTGATGGAGCTGAAGTTTTTCTGTGTCCCGCCTGGCCCGTGGTCAGGACTAATCTTTCTCACTCTGGTCATCCAAGTAATTATTAATTAAATCTGTATGGCCTAATGGCTCAGGCTTCTTGCTAGCTAGATCTTACATTTTAAATTAACCCATTTCTATAAATCTATACCTTGCCACGTGGCTTGTGGCTTACCGGTATCTTTACATCTTGCTTCCTCTGTGTCTGGCTCATGACTCTTGACTCAGCCTTCCTGTTCCCAGAATACTCCTCTCTCTTTGTCCCGCCTATACTTCCTGCCTGGCTACTGGCCAATCAGCACTTTATTTATTAACCAGTCAGAGCAACACATTCACAGCATACAGAGCAATATCCACAGCAGTCTGAGTTTAAGGTCTTTGAATATTGGTGTCATGAATCCAATTTTAGTCCTAAAATTCGAAGCTATGTAGATCTACTCCACAGAGAAAAGGGAAGCTGTGTCTCTAATTTCCAACAACAGATATTAGCAGAATGATGCCCATAAAGTATTTGTTGTTCTATAGATTTTAGTATATTGTCTTATTGTATAGTCAAAAATTAAATAAAACCCCCAACTAGATCTAGATGGATACCCCAGGAAATTAGGGACCTGCACTAGTCACAGAGCATGCAGATGGCCACCCATCCTATTCCACTGGTGTGGCTAACCTAACTTTAGGAACAAGGGAAGCAATTCCCAAATGACACCATGACTTACAACACCTGTGCTCCCTGCTTTCTTCTCTCTCACACTTTTGTCATCCTCTAAGAAAAACTGAACTGATCTCTGTCTGTGGGCAAGTCCCCTGCTTTTGACAGTGCTGATTTGACTACTGCAGTTCCCTTTCCATAGTCCTGAGCCACTAATAAAACTGTCTTAAATGGACCCTTTCCATTGTCTCCTGCTGGCTGATAGACTAGGAGTCAGTAGAAATTTTAAATAGACTAAAATATACATTCAGATATCAGGACAAAGAAAGTGATGTTTTTCTGGGACAATAAAAATATTGTGGCAGTTTTGAATATATAACTTAAACGTAAATTAAAAAAAGATTACAAGTATTGATTTCATTGAATGCATTTAAAATCAAAAGGAATGTTTATGTGTGATTTTGTCCCCTTGTTGATAACTGAGTTTTTTTGTTGTTGTTGTTGGTTTTTCGAGACAGGGTTTCTCTGTAGTTTTGCGCCTTTCCTGGAACTCACTTTGTAGACCAGGCTGGCCTCGAACTCACAGAGATCCTCCTGCCTCTGCCTTCCGAGTGCTGGGATTAAAGGCGTGCGCCACCACCGCCTGGCGATAACTGAGTTTTAATATTTATACTCTGATGCTATAGGATTAAATATTAGTCACGATTGTGAATGTGTAAATCTAATCTAGAAGGTATCTACTAGCTTCCCCTTAGATTTATCCTACTATATATACATATGTTTATTTTCAAATTGTTTGACACAATTTTCTTGAGAGTGAGTGGATAGAACTTATTCACAAATAATATAGTAAGAGTTTAAATAACCATCTAGTTTTTAACATAGAAAGATTTTCCTTATATATTTTTGATTTCTTGAATTATGCAGTATTTCCAATATTCATAGTTTTAACTAATTCTTATGTCTTTCAATTGAAAGTTATCACACACAAAGTCTTTTAACAGATATTCTCTTACAGACTTAAGTGAAATACATAGAGCCTTCACTTCTACATGCTAGCATCTTTGATACAGAAAGGTACTCTGCACTCTATCAAAGGAGAAATATAAACACCAGTCCAACCACAAACCCTTTGATCTACAAGGGTGTCCTGCCTTTAAAATATGCTAGTAATGGTGGCACATAGCCTGTGGAAGTAACCAGCCAATATGTGATTTGACTTAAGGTCCACTCAATGAGATGGACTGTACCTGACACTACCTGGGTGACCAAGAACCTGAGACTAGATATCCCAGGGGTCTACAGTAAAAATAAATACTATTGTTCTTAAAAATAAGTGTAGCAATAAAGTGACTCATAAAGGCATTCAACTATACTCATAGATCAGTTCCTTACTCAGTCATCAGAAGATCTTCCTCCTTCAGCAGATGGGAACAAATACAGAAAAGACCCACAGCCAGACATGCAGAGAGGGAGAGATCTTGGAACACTCAACCCTAAATGGATGTCTCCATCAAATCCCTCCCTTCAGGCCTCAGGGAACCCTACTGAAGAGGAGGCAGAAAGAGTTTAAGAGCAAAAGGGGATGGAGGACACCAAGAAAACAAGGCCCTCTAAACCAACATGCTTAAAAACATATGAACTCACAGAGACTAAGGCAGCATACACAGGGCCTGCATGGGTCTGCACCAGATGGTGCCCTAGAGCTGAAAGAAGAGCTAGACACATGTCCCCATCCCTAACCCAGAAGCAATCACCAACTGATAATCACTTGCAAATGAAAATCTAATTTTGTCCAAGGGAGTCTCACTGGGGAAACAAACTACTCTTAAAGGTAGGCTGCATGCCCAGCAGTAGATGGCCAAAAGAAATGAACTCAATGGCATCTTTGGAGGTTACTTGGCACACAATGTAATATCAGGGCTTTTCCTTTAAAAAAGTTATATATTTTTAATTTTAATGCATATATATATATATATATGTGTGTGTGTGTGTGTGTGTGTGTGTGTGTGTGTGTGTGTGTGTGTGTGTGTGTGATTTTCCTTCTCTCTTTTTAACCCTACAAGTCCTTGGCATACATATTATGGCTTCCACTTTAGTGTTTTTATGAAATTCCTGAGTGTGTGAATGAGTGGATCTTTGTTTCTTGTGCCATCTCTCGGGCTCTTTTCCTTCTGTTTGTTTTGTCCAATTACTATGCATTAGTTTTTGTTTTATCTTATGGTATTATATTTATTTTATTGTTATCCCTTAGAAGCCTGTTTATTTTCTAATGAAAGACAGAAAGAAGTGGATCCAGAATAGAGGGGAAGGGGGGTGGGACTTGGAGGAGAAGGGGATGGGGGAAACTGTTTTCAGGATATAGTATGTGAAGATAAAAGTATATTTTCAATAAAAGAAAGAACAGTTAACACATACAAAGTGATTTAACAGACGTGCTCTTACAGACTTACATGAAATACTTTTGAAATCCCCACTTATCTTTCTATATGTATACAGCCTAAAGCAAACCCATAGTCTTTTGGTACAAAATGAGTAAGTTATTCCCTTTAGAAGTAAAATGTAAACAATTTATGGCATATTTTGTTTTCTGAAAAAAAATTAGCAAAGATGTGATTTTAGAATATGTACTGCATTTAAAACTGAAGCTCATGAGTCCTTCTGTCTATTTATTGAAGGTTAGAACATGCATTCACGTCAAGCATCTGGCCACGGTGTGTCATCATTCATGGGTGGAAGAAGAATATGTGATGACCATATGTGATCATCAAACCTCAGCCCTCTGGCGCTGGTATATCACTTTTATATTTGGCAAAACCTTGTCTGACAACGCTCCCAAACAGCTTGCAGCAGTTAATCAACTCTAGTCAGCTATTACAGCTGATCCTTTTTGCAGATGGAAGATGGGAGGTTAGCTTTTCCAGCTCCTTTCCGTAGCTCCCTGAGCTCGCCAGTCTCTATAGAACATTTGTCTGCCAGTGGGCTTCTGGGGAAGGCATCTGCAATTATAAACATTTTCCCAGGAACATATGCTACAGGCAGCTTAGGCCCTATCAGGCAGAGCAGAAATCTCTTGTACCTTAAGGGAATTAACACAGAGATTTGATTTTGATAAAAGAGATAGACTTTATGTTTGAAGGAATGCCAAACAAGTGAGCATGGCAGCAGATGTGCTGACATCTCAATATTAGTGTTAGAGTCTTTCTAATCTTGGGTAGGATAATGTGCTAAAATAACAGTAATACATCCACTTATGAAGAGCGATTTCTATTTGTTTGCCACAGGACAAAGTTATTACAAGGCTTGAAGTGCTGTCTGTCCTGCCATGAACGGCAATGGTACCTAATAGTGGGCTGTGATCATCCAAGCAGGTTGGCCTGGAGACTCAGGAACATTGGAAGACAGTACTGTGGCCTTGGTAACTCGTTTTCCCTTGGTCTTTCACGTTGCTTTTGAGATCTGTTGAAAAGTCTCAGCACCTTGCAGAAGTCTCCATGACTGCCTTCTCCCTTGAGGATGAGTGTTTTCTTGGCTTTTGGGCCATGCTTTGCACTTTTTGGTCAACATTTTTTGTTTGATCATTAACTAATAAAATGTTTGAGTGACAGGGCTATGTTTTATGCTTCTTCTATGCCTTGAATATACAAGTGCTCAATAAATGTTTAATTAATAGCTGTAGGTGGCCTGGTCTGATAATTCCTGGAGAATTTCTGTCTCCTCACCTTGAGCAATGAACAGAAGGTAGATAAACGTGCTAAATGGCAAAGTCAAAACTATTTAGTCTCGTTACTCTGTCAAGTAAATAAGGATAGATAGCAAAAGCATAGAATAAAATTCTATCTAAATAACAAAAGTAAATAAAGTCAGTACTTTATAACTTCATGATTTTAATGCATTCTGTACTCCATTAAATTATTGGTTTAAAGACAAGAAACTAAGTTTAATTGTTTTTAAAGGGAACACACTAGTAGAAATGGAAAGATGTGCAAACCTGGCTTAAATATTCTAGACCAGGGGGAAGACTGGTTGTTGGCAGGAAACTGCTTGGCTGAGGGGCATCCGGCTGCTGCCTTGCTTGTTTCCTGGGATGGGAAGAAGCTGCTTGAGAGTGTTGACCTGGATTTGTGACTTCAGGAAGAAAACCAGGCAGACCTCCAGGCTTTTGATTCTGTGAATCTGCAAGACAATGGATATCTTATTTTTTTTTAATGAAATGTAATTTATTTTTTTATTTCTGAAGGAATGCAGCATTCTCTTTTTTTTTTAGATTTATTTATTTATTTTATGTACATGAGTGCTCTACTTGCATGTACACCTTTATGCCAGAAGAGAGCATCCGATCCCACTAGAGATGGTTGTGAGCCACCATGTGGTTGCTAGGAATTGAACTCAGAACCTCTGAAAGAGCAGCCAGTGCGCTAAACTGCTGAGCCATCTCTCCAGCCCAAGAATGGATATCTTTATGTGTGTTACAATTTAGGTTTTGTTTGCTTTTATTTAATCTTTCTTTCTTCTTTTTCTTTTTGATTTAGATGGAAGTTTGTTCCTTGATTGATGTATCTCTCATTTTAGTGCATTTCCTTTGTTTTCACTACTCCTTACCACCACCACTTGACTTCTCAGCCAAAGAAAAAGGAATGTAGAAAAATGCTGGTAGTTGTGAGAAAAAGCTGAATAACTTGGCTTAAATAATTGGCCTGGAGATACATTGCATGTGTAAATATGTTTGTGTATAAGTGCAAGTAACACCTGTTCAAAAAGATGAGGAATCATAGATCACAAAAGCAAAATAAATGGTAATAGACCCTAGATAGTCTGTACTCATAAAAGGATAGCCTTAGACTTGAATTTTTCCTTGGGATTTTGACTACCTTTTAAGTCATGGTTTCCTTTCTTTGAATATTATGGGGCTACCTTGTACTTTATGAAGACACTTTGTCTAATTTATTAGTCATAGTATTATAGCCCAGTTTAATTGAATAATCTCATATTTCAGCCTTCAACAGAGCCACCTGGGGTGGGGACCTATCAAAATAGGTATTGGGCCTCTCTCCAGTGATTGATTTAGAAACTGGGGTGGGAGGCTTGCAAAGTTGCATTGGTAAGATCTCAGGTAAAGCTAATAGTCCTAGTGGTATGAGGATATGCTCTGAAAACTCACTGTTAAACTGAGTAAGCTTAAAGAAGCTCACAATTTATCTGTGAGTGTCTTAGCATAATTTTGGAATGGTATAAAGGTCACTCTGTTGGTTTAGAGATATCAACTGATATCAATATTACTGCCAAGTAAATATGCTTCTATTTCAGTCATCTCACATTCAACTCTGGAGGCTTTCTATATATTGTGTATTAGTCTATGGATGTTATGCATAAGCCCCAAGCAGGAATATCTTTATCTAAAGTTATAAATGATAGCTTTCTAGTAGTTTCCCTATTCCATTCTCAGAAATATCCTGTGTAGTTTCCCTCATTAGATGCTGTTTTTCCCATAGACTGTCAGTGTTCATGCTTTTCATCCTCATAGAGTGCCAAGGTTCTTTTTTTTTTTTTAATGTGAATAAACTTAAGTGGTTTATCAAAGTTGTGTTGCTTTAGCTTAGCTGTTGATTCACAAGAAAGTGAACGACCAAGTTTTTTTTCTTTTTAAAACTATAGCAGGGTTCATTATGAAAGCAAGCATAGTTAAGAATCACATTGTTTAAGAACATTAGCATTTCCTGAGAATATGTCAATCATTAGGTGATTCACTGATGTGTAAAGGTCATGATGTATGTTTAAAAGCTAAACAGACTCTAGCATTATTAGGAAACAGCATTTTATACACCATGGTCTTTGTGGCTCATCATAGACTGAAATGTTGTTAAGTAACATGTACATGAATGAGACAAAAGAATTGGTTCTGGATTGATACGAAGAATAAATTTATAACAGCTGCATAAGATTTGAGCAATTGCTCTTACTGATCATATAGTAAAATTGGGGTGCTATATAAATACTTAATATAAATTATAATCGTCTTATTTCTACAAGAATAGCCAGATTTATGAAAGCTTTTGTGTGTTTGAGGTATTTTTCTGTATCTTGAAATCACAAATACAGTTTAAAAATGTACTGGGATTCTTTCTAAGATAATAAACTCCCATTATTAAGAAAACCCAAGCACAGTCTGAACAGGGATGAAGGAACACAGATGAATGGCCCTTCGGAAAAAGGAATAAATTGATTCTAGTAATGACGAGCTTGTTACGTTTGTGCATACAGTAAGTGTTAATGAGGGGCAATTGCCAGATGACTCATTTATTTATTTACCCCTAAGGTTGTAGGAACTGCCTGGGTTTATATTAATATTGATGTCAGTTACTAAGTTTGCATTTATCTGTGGCATTTGAGATCTGTCCAGGACTTGCTTGAGGATTAAACAAATGAAGAAACTTGTCCTTTGGCCCCTCTGTAACAGAACTTGTAAGTGATAAGGCTGAAGCAGTTGGCTTCCCACAAAGATTCCTCCAGAAATGCTGTGACCTTGGGAGCAGAGCCCAAAAAGGGAAAGGGATAACTCCTCTTCCTCTTAGGAAAAGACACTGGAAGGGAATTCCAAGAGGGAACCCCAAGACCAGGAAGACAATGTAAAACTGTCTTAAAATCAGAGGGGAGCTACCACAAGAGAAACAGCTGGAAAAAAGTTAATGCAACAAACACCTCATCCAACCTCAGTGCCCAAAACAGCTGTCATCCTCATTTTGCAGAAAACAAAACCAAAAGCAAAGTAGTGGCAAAATCATGATCTAGAAAATATTAGGTCACAAACAAAGTGTGTGATGGTAGTTCATGTCACCATAGAGAGGTATGGTTAATGGCCGGAAAGGGAACATTGTCAGCTGCTGGAAATTCCATATCTTGCTCTTGGTGGTGGTTACATGAGTATATCTTTGTTTAAGAAAATCATGAGACCTGTGTTTGGTGTTTGTTATGAACATGCAAAATTCCACAATAAAAGCGTGGTTAATTAATAACAAAAGTTGTTAGACTATTACATTATCTCTATTGTCATTTTGTTTTATAAAAAAATTGGTAAATTACTCCAAGTTTACCTTGTAAACTATGCTGCATTAACATACCACAGAAGGTTATTAAATGTCTGGAAAGGCGCTACATATATCCCTGACCGGGGCTACTAGGTTTCTGACCTAACAGCAGGTTCAGAGAATGCCTTTCCATGCATTTATTTTTACCAAGTGAAGAGGTTCCAGATGATATCCATTTCTTTGATCTATTGCATCCAGTTCAGGCTGTCTTGGACTTGTCTATAAAATGCCCCATTAACCTGGCATCTCTGAGGAGATGCTATCTGACAACACAGTTTCATAGGCCAAAGACCACTATGAAGTTATGGTCCTATCTTTAAATATTTCTGAAAAATGTATCCTCAAACATATTTTAGACAAAAATGAGATAAGGCGATTGCTCAAACAAGATTCCCTATTTAAATGATACTTTCCTGTCACTTTGGTTTTATAATAAATGTTCTATCTGAGCCATGGGCTAAATGTTTTAGCTGGTCATAGGGATGCCCGTTTTTATCTTAAAGTTTGTCTCTAGGTTTCGTGTATGTTTAAGTCACAAATACAGTCCTTTTCATTACTGAACATTATGTCTTTTTGGAAGATTAATCATAATATTGCTTTCCAGTCACATTTTCTTCAAAGACCCAGACCACTAGATGAATAAGAAACTCCTTTGAATTGCTATCTGGCTTTGAATTTCTATCTACTCTTTTAAAAATGTATAACTAAACCATCAATATTTTACACACTCTGCAACTCTTCCCCTTCCAGGCCACTCTGTTGCTGCTCTTAATTTACAAAACGAGAGGCATTTGGACCGTGGTTGTGCCAGTCTTCCAGAAACGTTTCTCAAGGTTTGTGTTTGTTTGTCTTCAAGTAGAGACCGTTATGCACACATACAGTAAAATTCAATAGTTTTCTCTTCCTGTTGTATTGTATAATCTGTCGCTAAGCTTTCCCAAGGATTCTCAGACCTGTACTAAATAAGAATGAAAAACACAAAGACTACTTAATTTGTTTAATAGGTGTCAGAGATGTGTTTATGAAGCAAACAACAGTATATTCACAGTATTTGGATTAAATCATCTATTTAGATAATTTAGGAGAGTTTACATTTGTAGAGTCATCTCATTTGTGACGAGTTTTAAATGCTTCCTAAATTTTACAAATCAAACTCCTCATTCTGAAACTTTTCATAATAGTGTAGAGTTTAATAGTGATTTATTTTGATAATTGAATAAAATGGATTATAATTTGATTTTTAGAAATATTTTTTTCTGTGATTGTGTCTTATTACCCCTGACAAAACCTTATCTCTCATCTTTTGACATCTGTCTTAATTAAAACAGATGTTTCAACAGTTTTAGGGTTCTGAGTGAAACTGTATACCCTTTTCTCCTAATGTTCCTAATAGATCTGCTTGCTTAAATTGGATAATTTGATCACTTTGATTGATTTTTTATGAGGAATTTACTACCAAAGTATTCTTAAAATATTTTAAGCTTATAAAGTAAAATATTTAGTTCGACTGCTTCAAATTGAGGCTTCACTGACATTCTGTTCTTCATTGGGCTGTATGCCACATGGCTTTGAACAACAGATGAGCAATTACAAATGTTGGAATAACATTTTTAGCTGTCTATGTGAAATCTTTCCTTTGGATTCATTTAAATTTGGAATTTCATTCCATTACTGGGTTTACATTAAATTTTTCCATTCTCGATTTTGTTTTACAAGTGTTTCTTATTCAATTTGCTAAGTTTGCATTCACAGTAGTGAAAAGACATTTTTATATGAGAACTTTTTACATTCTTTTGACTAAAATGTGTGTGTATTTTAAGTTAGGACAAAGTAAACCTTGGAGTAAAATAATTCAAATTCCAGTGTTTAAGAGCAATAAATAACAGCTTTTAAAGTAATGACCTCACTGGTTAAAATACTTCAAGAGCCATGCACATGTAGTTATAATGTATATAAGGGCCTATTTAGTTGCTGACTAGGTTTTCTCTTACCTTTAGAGGCCATGGCAGTCTGAGTACTTCTTCAAAGGCAGCTAGGTGAAAAGGCTTTTCCTGTTTCAACACGCAGAGAACAGAATGAATAAAACTCCCGACACTCACTGTCTGCCTCATGTCAGCTTACAGACAACAGAAACACAGTGCCTCGCTGGTTCTAGAGTGTTTGATTTTATCTTTTGGACAATAGGGGGAGATGAAGCCATTACCCAAGGTGAAAAAAAAAGGCCTACTTGGAAAAAGTCATATAAGTCAGTGGCTAAAAGAGCTACTTAAAAATAACAAAGAGAAAGGAAAACACATTCATGTCATTGTGCTGCCGCTTAGGTGTGTGGTATGTTTTGAAATCAGATGTGGTCTGTTATGTTCTCAGAGTCAGAGGCTGTGTAAGTCATCCTATCACCTGGAAGGCTGTCACAGATGGAAACACAATTCTTTTTATGTTCAAATGTTTGAGCCACATTCTTTCTTATTTTGTTGTGTGATTTCTGTCCAACTCACACCCTACAAACAAACAAAAAAACAAAAAAAAAGGATGCATTCCCCACCTCTCATGCAGATAAATAATTTTTTATTTTCAGGTGTAAATTAAATGTGATTAATCATGAGGATCAGGAAACATGAAGTTTCAGTAGCTTCACAGAGCTAAGCAAAGCCTACACATATTTCACTCATCATGTACTGAAAATGAAATTTCGACCCTAAAGAGTCAGCTTGTAGTTGTGAGTGCCGCTTCCTAGGAGGATACGGGGCTTTGCTCACCCCGTATCCCAGCCTGGATGCTATAGCACAGGAAACATCACAGCAGTGTCGACTCTAAAATTAGTGCAGCTGCCTCAGGAGGTAGAGGGGCAAAAAAACTGAAAGTTTAATATGATACGTATTGAAAGTCTGGATTTCTTCCTTGACAGGGAACTTTTTGTTGTTGTCTTATTTTTCTTATTATGTCTGGGGCTGAACATAACTATCTTATTTAAGTTTCTGTTCCAAAGAAAAGCTATATTTACATTTTTAAAAAATTAAACTTCATACATTTTATTGACATTTGCAAAAAAAAGAGATAATCTAAAGAAGTTAAGTTACACTGTCCAACAAAGTGTTTTAAATTGTGATCATAATTGGACAATAATTTCGACGGTTCTATCGAGCACCAACTTTGAAATTAAAAGAGCATGATTAAACATTTGACCTGTAGAGGGCACACCACCCCTGCAATTGCATATGGTCATGTGACAGATGACTGCTCTCTTTATACCATGCTCTGCAACCTGGCATTTCTGCGTGCTCTAATGTGGTGTGGCTACCTTTGAAGTGTGTCACTGCCTGTTTCTTCTCTTACGCATTCTCTATGCACAGCCAATCACAGGGCCAACGCTGCTTTTCTCTTTTCAGGTGCCTCTTGCCTGCCTCAGGGCTCCCTTCTCTGTTCTTCCTGATTCATATTCTTTCTCAAGGAGAGGCACCGGCCCCTCTTTCGTGAAATTCAGCTGTTTCAAGCATGCGAACGGTTCCAGGTATCCCAATAAATAACTGTTGCTTTGGGCTTTGCAGCTAGTCTCTTTCTGTAGAAACTGCTGTCCAACTTCACCTTCAACACTACCAGTCCTAACAGTGCTGTGTTCACAGTAGAACCAAGGTCCCCACTATTGTTCAAGATAGATACACCCTCCCGCCCCCACCCCCCACCCCCGACAGCGGCTTCTCTTGCTATGGTGATGCATTTTTCTCCTCTCCAATTGTGATTCTATTAAGCAGAGATATTACAAGGTGAACCTACAACAACAAAAAACCCAATAATATTAAAAAATAGTGCCAAATAGGAAAATCAAATAATGAGCTTGCAGGAAAACAAGCAAACAAAACAATAACAACAGCAACAAAACCCAAATAACCTTGAAAACAAATACCAGAAAGCATAGGGTTGTGGCTTGCCCCTTCCCTGTTAACTCTTGACTGGCTATTTTGAGGCAAGCAAGCGTACAGAATAGCTTAGCCATATTAAACTCCACTTGACTTGGACTGTACTCATACCCTCTAGTCATAATGTACTTACCTGCACAGACTATGCACACAATTCCCATTCCTGTATACCTGTTAGAAACATAAGATTCCTACTTGCATTAAGACACACACACACACACACACACACACACACACACACACACACACACACACCACTATAAACAATGGAGTCAGTTTCTCTTTCTCTCAGTGACCACCAAACTTGGACAGTTTCTCTTCAAAGGTTATTTCCAATACTTCCTAGAAGGGCCAGTCCTGCCTGAACAGGTTTTTGATGTAGACAATGAGGCAAAACTATGAGTCTTCAAGTTTCTATTTGGTGAGAATCCCCTATCTACCATGTTATGCATAATTGTATGTGAATATGATTAAAATCAGATTCATTATGGGAAAAGACATGTACAATGGGCAAAGTCTTACATAATTTCCTATCAGTTAAAATGAGAACCCACACAAACTATATTGCTTAGTAACCAGCCATTCTTTCTCTCAAATCCCCAAAAAGGAAGCTCTAAAAAATAACTGGGCCCCTTACATACCCTCACTGTCAATGGCCTGCTGTCAATCTTTAGATTTATTCATTTTATTGACTTGTTTATTTATAGTGTGTGTGTGGTGTGTGTGTGTGTGTGTGTGTGTGTGTGTGTGTGTGTGTGTACACTATGTCACAAATAAAGGTCAAAGGGCAACTTGTGGGAGTTGGTGGCAAGCACCTTTATCTACTGAGCCGTCTTGCCAGGCCATTCATTTTGTCTTTGAATAGTTTTCTTGCTACTTATGGAAATCTGTGTGAATGCTTATTTCATTTATTTAAATAAGAACCCCAGACCAGGAAACAGGTGGCCCAAACTCTGCCCATTAGAGTTTCTCCCTTGAGCTTTTGAACTTGATCTTAGCTAAAAGGCCGAGAAGCATTTTTTTTTTCCGAGACAGGGTTTCTCTGTGTAGCTTTGCTCCTTTCCTGGATCTCGCTCTGTAGCCCAGGCTGGCCTTGAACTCACAAAGATCTGCCTGCCTCTGCCTCCCGAGTGCTGGGATTAAAGGTGTGCGCCACTACTGCCCGGCTCTCCCTTGAGTTTTTGGTTTGCAACTTCCTTGTGTGAAATTATTCTCCATTCGTGACACCCAGCCTTGTTTGTTCTTGGTCTGTTCCCATGTCCTCTGTTCCAGCAAAAAGAAAACAAGACAAATTTGCAATATATCCCCTGCACCATTATGTTCTGTCCATGGCCTTTTCACAGAAAATATCATGGATGTTTTGTTATGCTATCCATTCAATAATAAATCCCTGTTTAAAACATTGCATGTTATTTAATGGTCAGATATTTGAAATCCATTTCCAGTGGAGAGACTCATCAAAATAGTCTCTTCTGATACCAAGGGAGAGAATTTGTTTAAATCCACATAGTAGCAGAGAAAAATACTATGCATTACAGCACAAAACAACATGAAAAATGCCACTAATGTTCTTCAAATCACATAGTGGCAAAAAGATGAGGAGTAGAGTTATCCATAAGATGACAGATTTGCCAGAAACTGAGAGAGAAGACTGGGAAGAGCTCGCCTTTGTAATACTTCACTAGGTTGGTTTTCTGTCTCTGGTTTTACTATGAAATGCACAAGCATTTAAAAATCATGTTTATACATATAAACACATGTATATTTGTATATATCTATACATAGGTGTATAAACACAAACACATACTACAATCTAAGTTTATATAAAAGGTCACTTATTTTTCTTGACTATTATGATTTTCTATGTAATTATTTGACTTATTAAGTTTTGACTATTGTCCTTTTCATAGAAAGTGATGTCTCCATTGTGCAAGCAGTGGTTCTATACACATGTCATTCTTTTGTACTATACTATGCATAAATGAAATTTCTTGTATGGAATATGAAAATATGGATTTTTTTCTAAATACTAAGTACAAATTTTCATCCCAACAACAGTGACTAAGAGTTCTTATTTCCACACATTCTTTCAATACATGCTTGGTCAGTGTAATGGGGGATTAACTAGGGACTTATAAATGTTAATCTATGAACAGGTAGCACTCAAAAGTCTTAATTATATAATCTAATGTAGCACAAATCTTAAAAGGTCTTATTAATAAAAACAAACCTGAAACCAGGTATGAGGGTGAATGCTGGAAGATCAGAGAAGCAGAACAACTCACAGCCACCTCGCCTCATCAATTCCTCAGCTGATCCTGTTTACTCAGACTAGAACCCTCTGAGTCCTCAGATGGAATGAATCTCAACTGAACTGCTGCTCAAAAGCCTAAAAGCTTAACCAGGCTCTAGTTCCTGGTCCTTACGCCTTATATACCTTTCTGCCTCCTGCCACCACTTCCTGGGATTAAAGGCGTGTGTCACCATGTCTGGCTGTTTTCAGTGTGGCTTTGAACTCACAGAGATCCAGATGGATCTCTGCCTCTGGAATGATAGGATTAAAGGCATGTGTGCTACCATTGCCTAACTTCTATGTTTAATATTGTGGCTGTTCTGTTCTCTGACCCCAAATAAGTTTATTAAGGTGCACAATATATTGGGGGACACAATATCACCACAATCCAAGAAAAGTAAATAACTTCATGTGCATTTCTTTTTTCATTTTCTCTGACTTCATTGTCATGATATAGTAGTGACTAGTTTTATGACTTTCTGAAAGTGATGACTAGACATAGAAATCTATGTGTAGGCCGGGCGGTGGTGGCGCACGCCTTTAATCCCAGCACTCAGGAGGCAGAGTCAGGCGGATCTCTGTGAGTTCGAGGCCAGCCTGGGCTACCAAGTGAGTTCCAGGAGAGGCTCAAAGCTACACAGAGAAACCCTGTCTCGAAAAACCAAAAAAAAAAAAAAAAAAAAAAAAGAAAAGAAATCTATGTGTAGAAGGACTGTAAGTTAGCAGTATAAAGATTCCTTTCAATTTTGCTTATAGCAGTTTTTCCTATAATATGAAGCCATGTGAGCATCCCATCACCAGCACCTGCATCATGCATTTCTACTCGTAAGTCTAATCTTCAATTTTTCCCCTATCAACAAATACATTATGGAACCAAGCAGGATATAAGTAAATAAATGAATAAGAGAAAGAAAAAAACAAATATGAGGAAATATCATTGTTGGTATTTTCCAGAACATAGCTATCCATGAAATGTGAAAAAAAACAACCTTTTAATGTGAACTGATGTTTCTTATCGTTAACACTACTATTCATTTACACAATTGTGAATAAACATCACACCTGAGTGCATTTACTTACTGTTTACTCAAACCTGCTCTTTTAACACAGCATTTTATTAACGTACGCATTTAAAAACACTTATTAGCTTTTCACTGTGTTCATGGCATCATGAAGAATCTAGTGACATGGTTCCACCCTGGGGAATGTGTACCTTAGTGCGATATCACAACAGAATTCAATAATCTACCAATTTCTGACAATTAAAAGTCAATTTCTACCTTCTGAAAATAAAATGACACAACTCATTCTCTTTCTGAAAAACCATTTAATTAGTATCAATAACGTTTTCAAATGAGATAGACAATTAATTGTTTCACACATGCATGTTAAATTCCCTCCTTTTCTGTTACTTTCCAACACGAGAGTAATAGCTATTGCAATATTCATTTGTGAGTAATGAGAGTAATAAATTGCATCATGCTTCTTTTCTGGCAGTAAGAAATGTTTCAATCTGCTTTCTTTCTAACAGAAGAAGAAACGATAACATTTTAAAGGACCAGAAAGGAAAGAAAAGAATCCTAGACATTCAGAAGAACAGATCTGACTTGATTCCTCACACATTGATCTAGAGCTCCCATTGACCTGGGTAGAGTAGAAACGACAGAATTGGAAGACCTTTGACTCGGTTTGTCCACGTGGATAAATGGTCTCCGGTCAAGAGATTGCAAATCCTATGCAAGAAGCAGATGTTTACCTGGCTTATTGCTCTTTACGTTGTTTCAGCCTTGTACATTTAGCTCAATAAGTCTCAGGTGGGATGGTGTTTGGACAGAAATCTGTCTGCATGGCCTTGTTCTGCCACTTCCCTGTTACCCACAATGAAAATTCAATAATCTCTGATGCTATCCTGACAGTCTAAGAGGGAAGAGAACATTTGGAGATCTTCTGGCTTATATGAATTTTCCAGAGAGAGAGAAGGAGAGAGACAGAGACAGAGAGAGAAGAGGGGAGGGCTGGAGATATGAAACAACTGGAAAGATTAACAGATATTACCAATCTTCAGAGACCTCAAAGTACCCCAACAAGAACACTTCTGACATTTCTTTTTTTAGTCATTATTGGAGTTATAGTTACCTTGTGGCTACTTTTTCCTCTCAACATCTGTCCGCATCTTCACAAATACCACCAAAATACTGCAACGAGCCCTCCAGTTACTGCAGCCTCCAGCCCAGCATCTCTGTATACCACTGCCTTCACTGGCTGAAGCTGTACCACGCAGAGCCAGGGCAGCTGCAGTTCAGAGGCAGCCAGCTAGACCAGTTGTTTTGTGCAGCGTATTTTCTTCCCTTTTCCAGCATTAAAAATAACTTCCCTTGTAGCTAGAGTTTTCCTGCCTGGCCCATAGTCAGGACAAATCTCTCTCACCTGCCAGTCCCACAGCCGCTCAGACCCAACCAAGTAAACACAGAGACTTATATTGGTTACAAACTGTATGGCCGTGGCAGGCTTCTTGCTAACTGTTCTTACAACTTAAATTAATCCATTTCCATAAATCTATACCTTGCCACATGGCTCGTGGCTTACCAGCATCTTCACATGCTGTTTCTCATCATGGCGGCTGGCAGTGTCTCTCTGACTCAGCCTTCCACTTCCCAGCTTTATTCTTCTCCTTGTCCCGCCTACACTTCCTGCCTAGCCAATGGCCAATCAGTGTTTTAATTATTGACTAATCAGAAACACATTTGACATACAGAACATCCCACAGCATTCCCTGAGTTTCAATCCCCCAGGAGCAAAGCTCCCATGAAAACGAAGTAATTATTGTAATAAATATACATTAAATATATAGGCAAAACATATCAGAATCAATTTATGCTTAACAGTGCATGTTTATTATTTACCTCTCGTGCTATTTATGGGCTAAGTCATTGAGAAAATAGCACATTTGAAAGGATGCTTTGCTAAGCAATAGCTGAGAGTGAGATGAGACCCTACAAACAACAGTGCTGGGTAGCTTTTATCAACTTGACACAAAACCTAGGCATAACTGTGAAGAGGAACTCTCACTTGAACTTCCTTCTTCAAATTGTCCTGTGAGCACGTCTGTGGGGGGGGATATCCTTGCTGGCTAATTGATGTACGAGGGTCCAGCCTACTGCGGGTGGTGCCATCCCTGGGTAGATGGGTGTGGTTTCTACGAGAAAGGTGTCTGAGTAAGCCTGGGGGAGCAAGCCCGTGAGCTGAGCTGCCTCTCTGGTCTCTACTTCAATTGCAGGTTCTTGCCTTGAATCTCTGTGTTGACTTTCCTAGGTGATGTAACCAGCCAGCCAACTAAACCGTTTCCTTACCAAGTAGCTTTTGGTGTTTACCACAGCAACAGAAAGCAAACTGGGACAGCCAAGCAGAAGGATGCCTCACTAAATAGAAGGCAAAAGTTTTGTGGGAAAACCGAGGTCTATGTTTGCTCTTTGTTTATTTCAGTTCTTTTTACCTAATTGCTAAAATGCTGATACCTTTATTGGCTTCCCCTTGGCTTTCATGAAGTGTTCACCAAAAACAATGGAGTAGTTTCCACAATAATTTGTTTATAGTTTGGGTCTTCCTCTCTTAATTATGAGCAAATTCATGAACTATGAAAATGAATGAGAACTACAATATTTATCCTTCCTTTAAATCATAATCAGCTATGATCTAAACCAGCTGCAAATGACTGTGCTACTGTAGGTTTGGTTTTTCTAGAAATATAGGTTACTGTGATTTTTGTAAAATACATTATTGAAGTATTCTTTACAAAATGAAGAAATTCTCTTAAAATTAAAAAAAAATTAGGCATGGAGGCTTCTAGTTAACTAGTAATTCATGTTTTGATAATACTTACAAACATAACCAATACATATGAATTTTGTGACATGTCACCTTGACCCATAGGTTCTAAAGGAGTAGTCATAGGATGTCAATTCATATAAAGTTACTTAGTCTCATGTGCACCAATTATAGCCCATGGTCTAAGGCTAAAAGAATGTGGAACATGAAAAGCAGTGTAGTAGAGAAACTGCATGTGCAAAACTCTACAGTACAATATGTGTGATAAGCAACAAGGAAATTATAGCTCCTTCACGGGTTGTACTCCTACAACTATGCCCTGCTGAACCTTATTTCTTCTAAGACTGTTTTTGTAAGGTAGAATAAGAGAGGCAATGTATTCTAGATGAATGAGGATATTGCTAAGAAATGTGACCATGAAATTGTAGTGGCCTTGGTGTATGAAGTAAACACATCCATAAAGAATACATGTAAGTTAATCTAAAACAAACTACTATTGACTTTTATTTAAGAAATGATTTACAAATCCTTTCTTCTGTTTCTACGAGTACTGTGTTCAAACTCTGTATTGAAAAGGGTGAATGATATTTCTATTCTCTATAATGTTATTTTTTTCCTTTGAAGCTCCTTAGTTGGTTTTCTCATACTAATTGTGAGCTATATATGTAAATGTAATTAAAAGCCTTCTGAAAAGTATATTTAAAATATTTGTTAAACAGTTGAAATTAATTTAACATGTTTCATCTGTTTTTGTTGTAGTACCATGCTATTTATATTACTATAGCTTTGTAATATACCTTGATCTCAGGTATGGTGATTATCTCCAGCAGTGTTTTATTGTTCAGAACAGTTTGGACTTGCCTGGATACTTTGTGTTTTCATGTGAAATTTGAGATGATCTTTTTTCAATTTCATTAGAATTTTTAGGAGGATCAGTAGATTGCCTTTGGTAGGACAGCCATTTGTTTTTACAATATTAATCCTACCAATCCATAATCAAGGGAGGACTTTCATCTTCTAGTACTTTCCTCAATTTCTTTCTTCAGTGTCTCAAGATTTTCATAGTATAAACCTTTCACTTGCTTGGTTTGATTCTTCTAATATTTTATTGAGGCTAATGTGAATTGAATTGCTTTCATGACTTTGTGCTCAATATGTTTTTTGCTATTGTATAGGAAGCTATTTGATTTGTGTGAATTGATTTTGTATCCTGTTACTTTGATGCAGGGGATTATCAACTTCATACGTGTTTAAACTGGAATACCCATCGGAGGTAGGAAATGAGTAAGGAACTATAGGGTGGGAGCTTCAGTGGAATGGAATAGAATGCAGGTAAAGGGGAATAGGGAAATAATGGAACAGAAGAGTTTAAATGAAGTAGGGGATGGGAGGGCAGAATAAAGGAGGAAGTATGGAGAGGTATAAACAACACTAAGGACCATTTGAAAGTGTTATATGAAAATCTACTACTGTAGAAGCTTCATAAAATGTATACATATGTATTTATAAAAGGAATTCAAATAGAGTTATCCTGTAGCAGGGGACAATACCTCTCCTGAACACCATAGGATATCAAATAAGACCTCCAGTGCCAGGTATGGCTTACCTTTTCTTGAGTATTGGTCAATGGGAGCAATAGCCTCCACAAACACTACAGGCTACTGCAATTACCCTAGATTTCCATCCATAACTTGACCACAAGACCATCTTGTAGAAGATATCACAGACTTGAACCATAGCACATGGAAAAACCAAGCCAATACCATCCTGGAATCTTCATTTCTACTGTCTAGCTTCATGGTTCTAGAAAGTGTTCTGCATGGTGCTGAGGGACAATAATTTATAGTCTTACTCAGATGTGAACCCTGCAAGTTACAATTACAAGCAGCTTGGAAAGATAAATATATTTGCTGTGTATATCTCTCTGTATGCTGTGAATGTGCTGCTCTGATTGGTTAATAAATAAAATGCTGATTGGCCAGTAGCCAGGCAGGAAGTGTAGGCAGGATAAACAGAGAGGAGAATTCTGGGAACAGGAAGGCTGAGTCAGGAGTCACCAGCCAGACACAGAGGAAGCAAGATGTAAAGGCAGAACTGGGAAAAGGTACCAAGCCACATGGCTAAACATAAATAAGAATTATGGGTTAGTTTAAATGTAAGAGCTAGTCAGTGGTAGGCCTGAGCTAATTGCCAAACAGTTTTAATTAATATAAGCCTTTGTGTATTTATTTGGGTCTGAGCAGCTGTGGGCCAGGAGGGACTGGAGAAAACTCCAGCTACAGGTATTAATGCAATACTGTCATAAACATTATATGAGTGATCAACCACTTTCTTGTTCCATTTAATGCCTGCTATGCAAGAAGGAACTCCTGTCTGGTATTGCTAACTAGGTCAAAAATTCATGGTTGGTGTTGTGGTTTGAATGAGAACAGCCCCCACAGTTCACATATTTGAATGCTTGATCTCACAGCTGTGAGATCATAAATATAAAAATGAGGTCAGTAAGTAATACCTCATTGTGCATGCATTGTACATGTTTCCATGCAGGCTTGGATGATTAAAAAAAAGTCAGAATTAACCCGCTTTTTCCCTTTACTTTCTATTTCATCAGATACTGAGAAATAAGAAATTTATATACAGAAGAATACTTTATAGTAATCATTCCATAAAATTTAGGGTGGGGGAATAAGAGATTGAGTGCATTGTGGTGGGATTGAAGGGCTTTGCACATCAGACTACTCATGGAGACACCAGAGAGAGTGATATAGAAATGGAGAAATGGAGAGAGAAGGGAGGGACATGACAAACCTGAAATGACAGGACTGTATTAACTAATCACAAAGGCATCTAAGATATAGACCAACAGATGCAGCTAAGGTATGGAAAAATAGAAGACTGATGTTCTTTTAAAAGTCAGACAAAACTAGAATAGGAAACATGATTGTTGGAAACAAATTAGGGAGTCTGGGATTATTTTGATCATTTTTGGAGTTTTGATTTTCCAGAAACTAAGGTTATATTAGATTTTGTTAAATTTATTTATCTTTTTAAATTTTAATTGAAAAAAAGTACAATGTTCCAATCACACTTTTCCCCTTTCCCAGCTCTTCCCTGATCCTTCACACCCACCCAATCCATACCCTTTCTCTCGCTCTTAGAAAAACAAACAAGAAACACACATACCACAAAAATGAAAGTCAAAATATACAAATAAAAGACCAATAAGACAAAAAATGCCTGCTAGCTAGCAATAAGCTGAACCATAGACCAAACAGTTTGTAATTAATATTAAACCTCTGAGTGATTATTTTAAAAGTAGCCGGGGGACTGCGGGACGGGGCAGAACAGAGAAAAGTGTCCAATTACAAGATATCTCATTGGCTCATCCACACTCAAAAACATTTGAGCAAGACAATTTTCTACTTTTCTTCAAATTTCACTGCTAACATTGTCTTATCTGTCAGTTCACACAGTGAAATTACTTCTATTGCAAACACTCTTTTTCTTTATCTGCTCCATTTTCAGCCATGAGTTCTTTTGTGATATTGTGTGTAGTAAATCTCTTCAAAAGAGATTTCTACACTTGCAGCCTCTGGCCTTCTTTCTAACATGTTCTCTGAAGTACTCATTCAAACCTTTATCTATACTATGCTATAAATGTGCTTTTATAAGGCTAATGATAATATTCCTACTATTAACTCCAGTGACTCCTAATGATTCTCCTCTTATCTATTGACAACATTTCTATTGTGTCATACACTTTCTTTGCTAGGCTTTTGGCATATCATATTTGGAGATTTTTGCTGATAAGAACTCATCTTTCTATTTCAGACTGATTCAGATTTTAAACCCTAGTCACTTTCTCTATTCATTCACTTCCTGGATGATCTTCCTATGTTTAAGTTCTTGAAATATATGTATGTTTACTGCTCCAAAATATATCTCAAGTTCAAGCTTTTCTTTTGAATTATATACTTGTATGCGATTTCACCAGGTTTAAAAACAGCTTCTTAATTTTCTTCACTGACTTATGGTGACCCATCCCTGTTAGGTGAAATCCTACATTCCTTCTTAGCTATATATCTTATGTGTGAATCATTTGGTTTTACTTCCAATCAACACCCAACTCTTACCATCCCCTTTCCTATACAGCATGAAAACATCATACTTGGATTATTATATTAGCCTCATAAGTGTGTTTGTTATCTTTATTCATGCTTCTACTACTTATTCTCAAGGCAAAAAGCAAACTTATTCACTGAAACTGAAATTCAGTCTTGATTGTTTTATACAACTTGAAGTGAGCCAGAAAGGTCTTATATTACCTTGTCGCTTAGCCATATTTTTGTTGTTGTTTTGATTTTGGTTTTTTGAGATAGGGTTTCTCTATGTGGTATAACTGTCCTGGAACTTGCTCTTAATCACATCATCTAACTCTGGTCTTCTAACTCCATTTCACTTGCTCTGGCATCTTTGTTATGGCTTAAACCTCCTTGGGATTCTTCCACTTTGGACATCTGTTCTAAGTGACCCCTCGGTCTAGAAGGCTGTTAAGATATTTGCAGGTGAACTGCCTCACATCAGTGATGGTTTTATCCAAGTACCATCATCTAAACATGGTCTATCCTAACCACAGTGTTTAATACTCAGATACAATCTTACTTCAGGGTTTACCTTTCCCTTCTTGTCTTACATTTTTCTTCTTTTTTTTTTATGCTCGATCATTTTCTAAAATACTGTATACCTATCTTAACAATTATATCTATTGCATAGGTCTGTCTCCTCTTCAAGAATATAACCAAAAATATTTGGCTTTATTTTCATATTCATTTTATTTTAAACCCTTTAAGCATCAAAAGTGTCAGTTTCATAGGTAGGCCCTCTATAAACATAATCTATAGAGAATAATATAAAATTATTATGGGATATATAAGTCACTATGCACAGCTTAAAATATAATGCGTAAAGCATACCTAAATGTTTTTCAATGTATATATAAATCCAAAGATGTATATCAAACATATTAGTGTAAATATGTACATAAATAAAATTAGACATAGTCCAGAAAGTGTTGAATTAAATGCATTTGTGACTAACTTAATTTATAGACTATGGGTCTAAAGAGAGAGGTGAAGGAAGCAAAATGAGTGTAGCTCATTTAAGAAAATGGTGATGGGTTCAATATGGCTTTTCCTTGAAGTAGAATTGGTCCCAATGTATTCACTTAAGAAGCAGCAAGAGAAGGGAAACATATAAGAAAGGAAGAAGTCAGAGTCCTATTGCAGATGATATGATTCTACGTATAAAACTCTAGAGGAGCTATCAAAAATTCTTAGGGCTGATAAACACTTTCAGCAAAGTAGCAGGTTATAAAATGGACACACAAGAATTGATAGTCTTCCTATATACAAATAGCAAAGATGCTGAGAAA